CTGCTCTCTGCTTATGAAATGAAATGTGCATTTCGCATTCACTAGCCTACTGCGAAGATCGCGAGTCAGCATCGTCAACTTCATCTGTATTACTAAACAATTTAAGTCTCCTTGCTATAGGCATATTTGACATATTCATAATCTTTGCTTTTTCATCAGCTTAGGAGCTTTATTATCGCCACACTTAGCTACTACATGAACACGTCACCACCGCATCAAAAACATGATTGAGTGAGGAAAACATGACAAATACCACCTAAACATAGCCTAACTGTTTAGAAAGAAAACACAGAACGAATAGCCTAAAGTGCATACGTCCATCTCTCGAATGCGGTCTTCTTCATGCCATCCTCACCCATTAGGTGCTTTTCCACTGGCCAGCGCGAGCACAGAGGCCAAAATCATGCCTCACCGCACTCCTGTAAAAAATAAATCGCTATACAGATATATCAGTCTTTATTTACAAACTTGGACACCACACGCGGTTATTGACTGACCACGAACAGGTAACTTAGCATACTTGCATTTTCCATTCGTTAATGTCTCACGGTCTTGCTGTATTTTTTTTTTTTTTTACAATTAAAACTAAAAGTCTGTTGTAATACAAGCCTCACTGAACATGTAACGAGTAAAATATTACTGAAAATTCATTAGTAATGCCTTACACTACTGCGTTACAGCAAAAAGTAATATGTTACTGTAATGTATTACTTTTGTAATGCTTTACTCCCAACACTGTTGTTCAGTGGCGATAATGTAATCAATGGGTGCGCTTCTATCACGTGGAAATCTTCTCCAGTTCATTTCATTAGTTCAGTCTGTCAAGGTCAGACGTCCCCAAGTAAAAACATGAGCATGCTGGAAAGCTGATTTTATAGTAGAAAATAGTTGCACTTCTGATTAAATGAGACGCTGACACTGTTTTTGAATGAATGAATAAAGGTTTATTAGGTTACTAAACATAAAACAGAATATATATACATCAAATTCATTACAAACAAAACAAAAAAGGTAACCGAACAGGTGTAGGCTGCAGCCGTGGCTTATTACACCTACCCTAATTACAAAACAACATCTACCCATCAAAATTTGAACAAACAATATACATGTATAAACATATGCATACATACACACATATACTCGTATACATACATGTATGCATATGTACAAACCTCTGCACTTGATTACAAATATTTATTTATAACTTATATTATTGAAATCTAAGCACAACAATTATGCATAAACTTATTTTAGACAATTTTTCCTTAAGCATCCGAATATTTGTCAAAAATTAGGATTTTAAACTGTTTTTTAAAGTAATGAATGAAATTGCTCCTCTTAAGATCATCAGTGAGACCATTCCACAAGTCAACCCCTTTTACCGTGATGGTGTTCATTTTAAAGTTTGTTCTGACCTTCTGTTTTTTATACATATTCTCTCCTCTTAAGTTATATTTCTGTTCCCTGTTTTCAAACAAACATAGTATATTTTCAGGCACTATTTTCCTATTAACTTTGAACATAAATACGGCGGTATTCAGACCGAAATTCAAATTTTATTGCTTTGAATTTACGGAATATAGAATTTGTCGGTTCGTTATATTGGGAATGATTAACTATTCTTATAGCTTTTTTTTGTAAAATAAAAATGGGTTTTGTGTTTGTAGTGTAGGCATGCCCCCATATTTCAACACAATAAGAAAAATATGGAACAATAAGAGAACAATACAGAATGTACAAAGAAGGCGTATTTAGTAAGTACTTGGTTTTATGTAATATGGCTATTGTTTTAGACAGTTTAGATTGAACATGAGCGATGTGAGGTTTCCAGGATAGTTTATGGTCTAATATTATTCCAAGAAATTTGTTTTCATTTACCCTTTCTAGTTCCACTTCATCAATCTTTAAGCTCATGCTAGTTTTAATTTGTCGATTACCAAATATAATATATTTTGTTTTACTTAAATTAAAAGATAGTTTATTTCGGTCAAACCATTGCTTTATTCTGGATAGTTCTCTAGTCACATTAGTAATTAATTGGTGAAGATTTTCCCCAGATACATACAGAATTGTGTCATCTGCAAATAATACACATTTTAACAAATCAGATACCTTACAGATGTCATTAATATATAAAATAAACAACTTAGGACCAATCAAAGAACCCTGGGGCACCCCACAAGTTATTTTAGGCATTTCTGATTGATGCTCATTAAAATGAACATACTGGTGTCTATTGTCAAGAGAGCTTTCTAACCAAGAGTGAGCACGGCCTCTAAAACCATACTGCTCTACTGTAGTTTATTCATGAACAATTTATGATCTATGGTGTCAAAGGCTTTTTTGAGGTCGACAAAAACACCCAAGGTGGTGTACTTTTTGTCTACTGCAGATGTAATATCACATGTTTTTCATGTTTAATAATGTAAAGCTTTTTGCTTTTAAGCAATCTGTTGTATAAAGTGCTATATAAATAAATGTCACAAACAACTGAATTATTAATGCAGAACTGAATGTAGGCAAATTGTTAAATAACCATTTAACAGTGATAATAATATATCATTACTGCTTAGCTAAAAATGGAAAATTCAGTATTTAAAGCATGCCATAAGGTAGGGTTGGGCAATAGCCAATGGGCAAAAAAACTTTTGGGCTAAATGGTGATGTATGGTATAATGTCAGTATTATTATTATTTTTTTTTTTTTATTTTTTTAAGCAAAGGACTATATCTGCGCCTCAAGGTTAGGACAGGACAGGTTTGGTGGTATGGTTTGGTTTAATAATGGGTTAAGGTGTAAGGGGTAAGGGAAGGATTAACAGTGTTATTATAGATTAAATTCTCAATTTACATCTGTAATTACATGCAGATTGGATGTTCAGTTTAGCGGACAAGTCAGTGCGCGAGAATAAAAGCGAAAGTAATGGAAGCGAGCAAGTAAGTCAAGACGGCACAGGCTTATCTAATGTTACATTATCCTATCCAAGCATTCCAAAACAAAAATATTTTCATAACAATGAGCCGCTTTAAATTAAGAAAGTTATCAACATAACTGATATTCAAAATGGTAAGCAAGCGCTACTTTGTACGTTTCATATATCTGCATATGTCCTTGTTTTGGTTTCTCATGGAGGCGCACATGCTAGTTTGCAGTCAGTTGTTGTCCGTGTTCAAGCACAGCTTTTGGTCCAGATGCAGCCAACGCAAGGCGACAACACCATCGGTTTTTTTCGCTGCAAGTTCTTTGAAGTCGGCTTGGCTCTTAGGAAGGTCAGCCCCTTCCCATCGGATCTTGCTAGTCAACTCCTTGTCCAAGCTCTTGTTCTATCCAAACTGGACTATTGTAGTACTCTCTTGGCTGGCCTTCCAGCATGCACTGTCAAACCTCTGCAACTGATCCAAAGGGCTACAGCAAGAGAGTCAAAGAGAGAGCACGTCACCCCTTTCCTCATAAAATTGCACTGGTTGCCAATTGGGGCTTGCATCAAACTCACTACTTCAGACCTTTGTGCCTTCTAGAAGCTTGCGTTCTGCAAATGAATGGTGCCTCGTGGTGTAAAATCACTTTCTCAGACCTTCACCTCGACTGTTCCAAGCCAGTGGAATGACCTACCATGACAACTCAATCCAAGCAGCTAAGCCATTTTCAAGAAACTCCTAAAGACTGAAGATCTTTTTCATCAACACCTGACCCATTAATACGAACATGTACTATTCCATATCTATTTATAAATGTAAAAACCTTGCCATGTGTACTGTGCTAGACTACCTGGGACTAGTCACAGCACTTGCATTTTGTTGCCCTATTGTTGGTTTGATTGCTTCTATTGCTCTCTTCATGTTAGTCGCTTTGGATAAAGCATCTGATTAAATGTAAATATTGATATCTGACATGGCTTTGTTCAACATTAACAGAGCACAGGTTGGAGTAATGGGTGTGCCGAAAGAACAGAAACTAACAGAAACAGCTTTCGCAACCTATTATAAAGACCTTGCAGAGACCCACACTTGCTTTAATGAGCAAAGTGATGTTCTGCCAATACATCCTAAACAGATGTGATGTGAAAAGATTCTAGCGATAAGAAATTTGTCTGTCCACACCAAACGCTACGTGACTACGAGACACGACAAATTTAATAAAAAAATCACAGCCAATCAGGAGAGCATGTGGGTGGCTCTCTGTAAGAGCACTGCTCTCGCAACGAAATGGAATAGTAAGCAACAATAAAAATACATTCTGAGTGACTGATACAAGCTTTGTCGTAGAATACGCTTGTTTGTTTACACCGAGTTCTTTTTTCCTTAAATTTATTTTCAAGATCTGACTCAAGATTCAAACTCGCATTAAATGATTTTAACATTAAATAAAGCACATAATCAGTACCTGAGATTATCATTGTCATATATTGTTGCAACGTTTCTAAAATAGAATTGGCATAGCTGGTAAGAACAAAAACACTGATTAACATAAAAAAAATATATACCTTTTATTGCGTCATGATGTTGGTTAGGAAACAGTGCAACTCTGATCTTTTCAGTTCCAAAACTGGTCTAATGGACTCGTTCACAAATCAGGGGTGCGTTTCCCGAAAGCATCGTTAGCCAACTATGGTCGCAAGTTGGTCGCAATTTTCATTGAACTCTATTGGTAACGACGGAACTTGCGACCATAGTTGGCTAACGATGCTTTCGGGAAACGCACCCCAGACTGATTCGGTTCTCAAGTTACTTTATGATTCAGTTGCAGCAGTTACCAACCTGCTGAAGATCATGACACTGAGATGAAGACTCTTCATAAGACTTTGAATGTAGTTCACATGAGTCATATGGGCTACTTAAATGGTACTATTCAGCAATACTTTTATGGTGTTTTTTCAGAAAACAGCAAAAGGGTACAATATTCCTAAAATAATGTTTCTTTTTTATTTTATGCAAGAAATATTTTTGTAAATGGTGGTTTGCATATTCTCTCATTCCTTTTCTTTCTTTTTTTCCATTTAGAAAGAGGAAGGAAAGGTCCAAGGTCAACTCAACAACACAGACTCCAGCCAGTACATCAGACACCTCAAGGATCAGATAGCAGATCTCAAACATGAGGTAATTTCAATGCGTTTACTTTTTTATATATACTTTTGCATATTGTTTCAAAATATTGTATACGGCTATGTACGTCATATACCTTTAAGCAGAGGTTTATTGTAGTAGTCAAAGTCAACTAGTTGAGTGTGACGTTTTACCCACCTATGATATGCTTCTTTTCCTGCCTGATGTATGTTTTTGCTCTTTACTATTTGTTTTGTGGTTAGCTTCTTATTTTTCACAAGCTTCATGAGCGCTTTGAACAGATTTGTTAGTTTATTTCACAGGGCTTTTTAAGTGTTAACTACGCCCTGTGCATGGCCTCTTCCTGCACTTCAGTTTGCCCTGCACACGCCCCGTCGCATTCTGTCGCGCTACACCTATCCGCTCGCAGGTGGAGTAACCAGCCTGAAATCTGTTCTGTCGACCCTGTATTTTAATAAGTCGACTGCACCTGTGACTCAAGGTCAACCTAATCGAATTGTCAGGTCATCAATCAGACAAATAAACGGAGAGGTACACACAGTGACACATGTTCCCGGTTTACTTGGCATTACCTTGGCTCTGCAGTCATTGGAGGTGGCACACCGTATGAATTCTAAACAAGTAGCACTTAAATCTAGTTTTATTTATTTCACCTTTATTCTCCAGGTCATGTGTTAAAGTGCACCCTGTTTTAGTGTGTTATAGCACGTAAACAAGTGCACAAAGTCCTCTCCAAAGGGAGTTCACCTCTAGGCACTTTTAAGAAAGTAGCACAACTCTAGTGACAACTCTACGTTGTCTGTAGGTGGTGTTGTTTTTTGTGGCTAATGTGTTTTGGTTGTTGCCCACTTCTGGTAGTGGGACTCACTTCTAAACCATTTAACTTCTCTGTGTTAAATAGCTACTAACTGATTGGAGTGTTTTAAAAAATTGTTATTCTCATCAATGCAGATATGACATCCCTGAGTGGCGACTGACTGCTGTGGTGGCGGGATCCGATGTTCTCGTAGATGTTACTTAAAAGTTTGAGAACTGCTATATAAAGCCTTTCATGTGTCTTGGGCTTATGGGAAATATGGACAATGCAAATATGATACTGTCATTAGGCATTAAGAATTTGGTCTAATAGCTTCTTTTGCCAGTGATGTCTCTTATGTAGGTGTTATAGGTCGATATAGATTGTGTAATGTTTATTTGGAATTTGACATCACTAGCAGTTATGTTGACACGATATGTGGAGTGAGCATGACAGACTTCAATGATCAGACTTCCTTTGATGTATTTGCATCCCAACCAGTTTTAAACATATTGTGATGTTTAAGAAATCACAGTCAAATGTCGCGTCGCATTATTAATTTTTTCTTAGCTAGACATGTTATTTTACATGGTAAGGGAGCTAAACTGAATGTAGAGTGACAGAACAGAAAATGGAAAGCATTTAATTGATTTATACAGAGGGCAGGATGTAGTGTGATTTTTCTCCTCCTCCCTAATTCTGACAACAAAAGGCTGGTGGTTTGCGGTCAAACAACTTTCTACTAAATCCATCTCAATCCCTATCTACAGAGTGCAGCAAGACAGCTTTACCTCTTAAAACCTGCCAGGTTCCTCTTCGTATGCAATCAAGCAGCAGCATGAATCCTGTCTGTAGCCACAAGCCCTTACGAACAAGACTGATTTGGGTGTTTGTGAATGTGTAGTTTGAGAGAGGACCCATTTAATAATAGTCCAGATGAATTAACGGAATGAGTTAATTAATTTACATTTTTATGTTGATGTATTTACATTAAAATGTATTCATTTATTTAAATATTTTGGAGGAACATCATAAGTAATTTGTCAAGAGCCAACAACAATCAGTCCAGAACGGCAAGTTTAGTAAAACCTCTCACCTTTGCACAATATATAAATCACTTATCTGCAGATGTTTTCTGGAGATTTGTGGAATTAAGTTGCAAAGTTGAGCTTAAAAGATCAGCCTCACTAAAGTCGGCTTAGTCATAACCTTAAAACAAAAGGACGGATGTCTGGTATCTGGTTGCTATTTAAATCACGAAGTTGCTAAACAGCGAGAGGTTTCCAATCAGCCGCATTTGCACCAAGCAAAACCATACGTGAGCTAGTCTCTCAACATCACAGAGTCATGCTTGTGGCCTCTCTTGCCATTTTGATGCTGTCTTCCGGCTTGTTCTCTTTTTTTTTCTTTCTTTAGCCTCCACAACTCGCACATCAGCCCTCTTCAAATCCCGCATGAACGCTGTGTTTTCATTTTAAAAAACTCTTGGTTATGTAATTTGGGTAATATTAGTTAGTTATAGTTGGAATGACTGTACATTGTGGAAGGAACATAAAACAGAATGTTACTGATTGTGGTTACACTGAAATACCCATGAATACGTTTCTCCCCACATGTCTGTCTTTCTGAGGCAGAATGTTTCAGGTAAGAGTGCAACTGCGTATCATACCACAGAGCAAATTTGTCAGTTCAAAACCACATTTCACACCAGGACTTTTATGTTATAGGCTTACGGTTGGCCATTTGATTTACTTGTTTGTTTGTTTTTTAGCATGGGTTAGATGACCTGACTTATTACTTGTTTCTTAAAGGAATAATTCACTCAAAAATATTTTGCTCACCTTCATGTTAATCCAAAAAGCTATGCAATTCTTTCTTCTTTGAAAAAAAAAAAAAAAAAACATTTTTTGTTGAAGTCATTCTTCATATCTTTGAACAGCTTTAGAGTAGGTTAATAATAACATAATTTTCATTTTTGGGTGAACTATCAAACCTGATCTCACAGGAAAACATAACTATTAGACAAGATACTAATTCGTATGAATTTGTAGGAAACAAAGTATGAAGGTCCAGCCTTAACCCCAACCCTAAACACAACCGTCACTGGGTTGTAAGCAGATCATTTGAAAACATATGAAGGAGATTGTGTGAATTCATACGAATTAGCCATTAATTTGTTTAAATATAAAATAGTTCTGATTTGCCATGAGATTGTGTTGTTGACTGACTAGTTGTTTGTGTAGAAAACTCATTTTGGCCCCATCATCCCACTATATGTGCTTGTTTAAATTGATGGTGCATTGGTGTGTGTTTGGCGACTGTTACCTTTCCTATTGTTATCTTTTCGGAAGAAATGCTTTCCTGGAGCTTATTTGCATGTTGTAAAATGAAATGCTAAAGGTGTTCAAGTTTCATTTGAGCTGATGTTCTCTTTTTCTCTTCTCGTAGATCCGATGCTTAAGAGGGCAGCAGGGATTACCCGACCAACCCAGTTTTGATGGGATTCACATAGTCAATCACTATGGAGGTGACAATGAATCCTACCAGTCCTCTGATGAAGATGGAGTGAAGCTGTCACCCCACCTGACCAGTCATCAGGTTAGAGGCCGGATCACACTACATCCAAACCTGGGGGACTCAGAAAGTGAGGGTGATGAGGAAGGAGATACCCTTCGACTTACTGTGCCCTCAAATGGCAGCCATAAGACAACTACAGTATGAGTGTATGGATTGGTGACACAAACTGCAATCTAAGGTCAGGGAAGGTAACATGGTCTGTAAGCTCGTCCTACAGCATTGAGCATTGGACTCGAACAGGAGAACTTGAAAAGCCCTCATTCATCTTTACAAATGGACTTGTGGAGTCCTTATCTATCTCTCTAAAAGGTCATGGTTTACATCTGCATTTGTTTTGTTTTTGCCAAAATGCGTCAGATGTTTGTCCTGGCACTACTTTTAATTTTAGCCACGATAAAGTCGGTTAATGTGCCTTTTTAGGCTCTTTGAGACCCTTGTAAAAAAAGTAATAATTTTGTGGCACGAGATTCCCAAACCTTAAAAAGGGGTGTTTCTAATACCCCACAATTTTTTTTTTCACATTATGAGAAGCAACTTTGTATAGCGTCGTGTTTTATGCATTAAGATTTTGCATCGTCATAGCTTTTATTTTTTAAAGTCATCCTTTTTTAAGAAACCAGTCCATGCTTCACTTTGAGGGATATTAATGAATGGAACACTATCATCTTTATAATGACATTTATATGTTCCATATTTATACAACGGTGTCATATCTAAAGTTATCAAGTCCTTTTTTTCCCTGGCATGAATTATAAGATTGGGTCTTGAACACATTATGAAATGTGGGTCAAGGAACCAGCATCTATGTAAATATGTACGTTTTGATTTTTTTTTTTTTTTCATCTCCATTATTACTTGAAAATATGTATTCAGTGGATGTCATGTCTATTGTAATGTATTGTACAGTTAAAGGATGTATTACTGAATTTGGGAGGTCTTTGGAGGCAACAACTCTTCCTGGCACACTGCTGTCCAATAACTTTTGTACTGTAGCTTTGATGTAGTCATTTCTCTATTTCACAGGATGGAGTTTTGATTTGTTTTTGTGCCTGGAAAGATTCTATGAAATTCTTGCTGATTTACAATATTTTCTACAAATGTGGTATGCAGAGCATGTTATGAATCATGAATAGCTGCAAACTGATGCAATTAGAGGCAGAGAGCGGTGTTTATCAGAACAATGTTCTCCCCTCTCTGGCCTTACTCAAGCCAAGCACTCACAGCTATCGCAGGCAATGAGAATACAAGTATACACACACTGCCCCTCCTTTTCGTTTTACATGCGTATTCGTGCCGACTAGCTTTTGAATCAGTTTGGATCTTTGCACAGATGACATATGACTTCACGATAATGAAATACTACTTATCCCTGTTTATGGCAATATATTTAATTGAGCTTCACTCTACACTGTTGTTCTCCAATGAGTTTTTATGTCCCAGTGGACTTTGATAGTCGTCTTCAAAGCAAAAGAATAAAGTAATTTCAGAGAGCAAGCCTTAAAATGATGGATGTATAGTTGGTACACTATTTGTCCACCTTGCCCACATACAAAATAAAGACTTTGCTAAACGAGCTTGCAAAGCACAAAACACTAAAGTGATTTAAAGCAATTAAGAATAACCGTAGTGATATAAACTAAAACCTTACAAAAGTTGAGTGTTTAACAGTGAATTCCTGTGGAATGTTCCTGTGGGCATGAAACGCTTAACAGACTGTTGACAATGCAAGATATGTGTCTTGAAGATGATGGACGTGTTGATTCATATCACAATAAAAAGACCATTTTATAGTTGCCTGTGCCTGTCATGCTTTGTTTGCTATTTTCCTTGCAGAAGCATGAAAAAGAGTCGATTAGTCAAACGAAATGTGTGGTATTTTTTAAAAAAAAATCACTGAATAGAATGATATTTTCTAAATTAGTTTCTCTTGAAATCGAGATTATATATATTATAATCTCGAATATTGTAATCAATATTCGGGCGTGTATTTTATTTTATTTTTTCTTGTATTGTAGGCTAGGGTTTAATATTTTGTTTTCAGGACAAATAAACATTTAATGCACTGAAATAAACAGCTGCTGAAGATACAGCCCTACACTGGAATACTATTTAGATGTGTCGCAAATAACGTTCTTCAGGAAGTTTTTGTATGTGTGTGTGTGCGCGCGTGTTAAGATGCTCGTACGCTTAAAACCCATGAGAGGAGATTGGCTGTGCGCTCTTTGCCTTAAACGAAAACACCTCAACTGTCCCGAAATCATCTTACAACGAATTGTGTTAGGCTATCGGGTGAGTACTGCAATTCCTTTTTGGGGAATGAGCTCTCGTTAGACTTGTAGTGACTGATAAACATAATTCTTGAATCAGGGTTTCGCTATAGAGCAATCACAGTTCTCGCGTTCAGCTATGCATGACGTTTCATACTGTAGCAACGTATTAAATATGAATAAAACTCGACTTAGGTTATCTCTGGAACGTTTTACTTGTCCAGAACAAATGCAAACGTTTCAATTTGTTAATGACATTCAACTGTGCAGGACGAGAAACATTTAGAAAAGAAGCGTTATAAAGATTTTGGTAGCGTTGTTTGGTTGCTCATAAAAATAGCCTATTGTTTAGCCTATCTTTATAAAGAACGGGCTCTGTATTTTAGAAGTAGGCCTACAATATTTAAAGCATATAGGCTAGGCTATTTTTAAACATAACTTTTAGGGGGGGAAATGAAGCAGCAATGGTCAGGATATTCCTTTTTTTCTTTTCGTTTTATTTTGTTCTGAGAGTTATTTAGGATATTTTGTTCTGTTTTTGAGATAATGTAGCCTATTTATTTATCCATTTAATTATTTATTCCCCTCGTGTAAGTATCTTGTTCAGGTTTCTGTCACTTTCGTTATGTGGGATAGCCAGCCTATGATTGTTTCCAATGTTTCTCGTGATGGAGTAGCCTACACAGTAAATGTGAGATAATGTAAGTCAGAACATCAGTCAAGATACTGGCAACACTGTGGCATTATCGGTATCCTATCTACCGGACACCCTGGGGTGGCATGTCTAATCGACGGAGGGCACATTGCGCTTTGATTTCCTGCGCTTCTCTGTTGGTAATAGGCTATCAAACACACTCACTCTTCTGCGGATCCTGGACTGTGCGATTATCTGATGGGCGCGACAGATTTCATAAATCCATACAAACTGTGAGCGAAACATGTCTAAATAACGAGACGAAGCCGTAAAGAGAACGGTTAGCCGCACATTCATTTACAGCTTTTTTGCCCCCCCTAAATGAAAGACTGCAATAGCGCTCTAGGTAGTGAAGTGAAGCGATTACTTTGCGAGACGGCTGTCACGAGTCAAAGGCAGGTGAGACGGAGACTGATTGGCTGATGTACGGGCTCCCACTGATTGTCTGCCGCACGAGCTGAATGCGTGTCCCTGTTGTGTCCACGACAGAACACCAGCGTCCACTTTGAACAAGGACGCTCTGTTCACTGAGCAGCCACGAAACTCGAGATCACCGTGACCCCGCTGGCGTGTGGACAGCTTTATTTCATGTCTACTAAAACCAAGTTTTACTTGATCATCTTGATAAAGTCCGGTTAATGAACCTGGTCAATATGAATCCAACAACAGAAAGCTGCATTCCAATTACGAATTCTGGTTGATTGGGACACTTTTTGCCATTGAAATGATTGGAATTAATAAGACTCAATAAATAAATAAAACTTAATTTTGAAAATTAAATAAGCTAAATGTAGCCTATTTTTAAAGAAGCCTAAATATTGAATTCAAAAAATAAAACCTTTTCTAAAAATAAAAGTTTTTGCGAAAAAAATTTTGACTGTATGAGTCGTGTACAGGGTTGTTCATTCATTCGGCAGGCAGTAATTGGCCTTGCGCAAGGTCTTGAGTCACGACAATTCAATCTGTTTATTAGAAATATAATTATTTGATAGACTATATTTATCTTAGGCTGTAGTTTTACAAATAACTCTTAAAAAAATCCAATTGTTTTCTTTAAAATATCATGATAACGGGGTTAATGACTTCAAATGCTTATTTGGACAATTGTACCAAAACATAAGATAACGTGATTAAGGGAGGAGATATTTGGCTTTGAATGGTTTAATAATGATGACGTTTATGTCATAGCCTAGTGTTTAGTTTATCGAATTGTATCTGGGTGTGTTTTGGCGCATTACCCGAAACTTAAATCTAAAAACAAATTAAATTAATAAATAGAATTTCTAATTAAATATTTTATCTAGACCAACTTTTTAAATTAACGTGTACCTATTTGCTAATAGCCTACAGCGAACAAAAATAAATACATAGTCAGCACGATTGTTTATGTGTTAAGAAAAAAGCCAATAAGAATATAGCCTAGACCTAGCCTATAATACATTTTTTTTTGTTGCATTTTATAGCCTGTCTATATGAAGTACTCAAAATGTCCCCTTGTGCATGATCCATATGTGAACGCAAAACAAATTACAAGCAGTCCCTAAATTGATTTAAAAAAAAAAGTGTTTTGGAAGAAAAAAAAAATTAACATCAAGTCCTTAACACAAAAACCTGCGCAAATCATTAGCTGCAGAAGGCATGCAGAGACTGGGTTGCCGTCTCCTCGTTTCCTCTCCCCCTGCAGCTAGGGATTGAGTAACACATTGATAAAACAGTGTATCACTTATCCTGATAGCCACGGTTCCCCCCGGACCTGTCTGTCCTCTCATAGAGGGGCGGACCAATCACAGGCCTAAGGCTTGGTAGTTGTCCCTTTAAAGCACCTGTCTTCATAACACCTGGCAGACGAGAGAACTGCTTTACGCATGCTCCCACTCTGCCATCCTCTATACAGACGCACTGTTCTTCAACCAAATGGTCTTCAAATCTTTTCAGAGATAAAAAGCCACCGCATCTGTGGATCTGACAGATTGCCTGATCTTCACTAATGACCAAGGACATCGAAGGAAGGAACTAGAGGAGACACAATGCCTAGGTCTTTCTTGGTGAAGAGCAAAAAAGCACACAGCTACCACCAGCCACGATCTTTGGAGGATGACTACAAAAGACTTGATTCTATTTTAGCTCACATATGCGCAGGTATGTCAAAATTACATTTAAAAATTCTAAATTATATACGATTTACAGGGAACAATGCAAAATGCATTGTAATTTTTTATGCAAAAAACAAAACAAAAAACAAACAAAAACGCTTGTCTAGCTTGTAGATTTTTTTTCTTTTTATTCCCATATAAACATAATGAGGTCATTGTTTATTTGTCTAAGAAAGAAAGTGATGGTAATATACTGAGCGTACATTTGTGTGGGAAAACTCTGGATTCTTTACGTTGTATCCATAGCCTATGTTGTAAGATTCAGATTCAGTAGTTTACAGCTGTGTTTTTGATGGGGAAAAATCATTACAGAAAGCAAAACTTCAGACGAGTCAGAGTGCTGTACGGATGCTCTGACAGGCGACACGACTGATGCTTGTTCACCGGACTCTCGCCTGGATCACGCTGATATTTCCTCCAAGTCTCCTCTCAGCTCTGGGGGAAGCGTGTGCGACCGCTCGTCAGATTACGAAGACTTTTGGCGACCTCCATCACCATCAGCATCACCGGGTAGGAGGTGTACTTTATTGAAGATATCTAAATATTTAGAGCCCATCAAATTGCAACTATAGTGTGAATGCATGATTGTTTTTATATTGGCGGTTGACGTTATTGCTTTCGTTCATTTCTGATTATTATCGGACAGAATTTGAATAAAACAATAGGCCTATTTATCATATATATATCACAATATAGGCCTATATTACAAAAACGTTTGTTATAAAAGTATACCATATAAGCTATTTTGACCTTATCAAATTTTGTCACAAAACGCTGCGCAACAAATAAGTAAGCGAGCCTACCAGATAGCACATGGCTACAGGCCTATACGTCTCTAACATTAATCTGGAAAACACCTAAAAGACATTTTAGATAAAGCAGTTTTACATCTTAGTAATCATACTAAACATCTTAAATACATTTTCCAAATGTCTATCTGACAGGAAACGTCTTTGAGACATAGGCCTATGCTGATGAGCAAGCAATCTTGCAGAGCTGTCAATGCAAATATCAAAATTCACTCTTCTAAACCGAATAAACAGCATATTTAAAACACATAAATCATTAGGCTAATTGGTCGTTTTTCTCTTTTAACAGTGTCAGCCAAATCTTTTTCACCCTCCGTTGAGGAAACACAGCCCTTCGCCGTCCCTTTCAGGCCTTACGCGTGGAGCAGGTACTCGGGATGTGAAATCAGACAGCTGGTACATACTCTCAATCATCACCACTCTCTCGAGCGGCCAACTCCTCCAGCCTATTACAATGAGCGCGCACATGTCGAGCCCTCTCTATTCACTGAACGAGGATCTGGCGCAGGCATTTACGGCTCCACTGCCACCCTATTCGAGCGCGCCACTGCCTCTGGATTTTATGATGACAGCAGCATACTGGGAAAAGGAACTGAGATCAAGTCCAGCTCCGATGTGATGTGTAGTCGTCTCCTGCTTAATGGCGCATACAAATGCATCAAATGCAGCAAGGTAATGTTTAGGATTATAGAGCAAATCAGCTTGACTGTTTTTAGAATTAGAAATTATTTATTAGACATAGTCCTCTCTGCTCCACAGGTGTTTTCTACACCACATGGCTTGGAAGTTCACGTCCGGAGGTCGCACAGTGGAACAAGACCCTTTGCTTGCGACATCTGTGGGAAAACGTTCGGACACGCGGTTAGTCTG